CTTTCCCTCTGACTTACATGTATACAAAGTTTCATTCAAATCAGAGTTTCTGGGCTTGCGAGGTTTCTTTGTCAAATAGCACACATTTTAATAAAATATATACCTCTCGGATGTTTTGGTTTAAAAATACATCTTAATTTTATTTTCTTTGGAATTTAATGTTGTTTACTTATCCATTATCGCAGAGTCACTATCGATTCTTTGACGCAACTGACGAAATCGTCGCTGGCGGTAGGAGGATGGAACGAGGAAGGCAAGGAGTTTTTCCTTGTTTCTTCAGATCCGCATAGTCAGCAGATCGGCAAGAAATTTGAGTTGATCGAAAATGAGAAGAACGCCATCGACCAGGTGGCCAACGGGACGTTCTGTTATTACGAGAACTCGTATTTATTGCGACACATTCGCGGAAAACGGATATTCGAGGAAGAAAACGGTCAAAAGAACAAAAACGAAAAAAATACAGGATCGGTGAAGTACAATTTGCACATTATGGAGGAATGCGTCGTCCACATGCCGATCGCGTTAGGGCTGGAGAAAAATTCTCCGTTGAAGCCCCACGTGAATTTATGGGTATTTATTTGATAATATTAATCTGTAAAGATTAATGAACTACGTGAGATATTAACTATCTTAAATAATTTTTAAAGGATGTGCGAAAAAGAATATACTAAACAATTCAAAACTGCAAACATATGATGTTCTTATTTTTAGCAACAAATCCGATGGAAGAAAATTAGTAATTTATTATTTGAAATTTGAAATTAAATTTGAAATTAAAAGTCAAGTAAATTTGTTATTTCTATGTATAGAATGTTTTTTTCAAAGACTCCAAATATATTTTGGGCGTTGGAGAATTAATTCTCAGTTACATTAACATATATTAATAATCAAGGATAAAAAAAAATCTCGTCTATAATGAAAAAAAATAATCGCGATACTTTTTTTTCGATAACAAGTAACAGAATTCAACAAAATCATTTTTATTTTGTTATTGTTCGAATCTACGCGGCATGATTTTTATACAAACAAACACATATAAAAAGCATTGAATTCTTTAAAAAATTAATAAACAGTGTGGACAAAATTGGACGATTTTTATTTTAAACGAGATCATGTAATTTTTATAAACTCATGTATATATTTAATGTGAAATTTTAATACATATAGGTGAGACGAATGACGGAAATTGGTTTAGTGCGCAAATGGCTGAGCGATGTCATGGAGTGGTCCAAGATCAACGAATCTCGGCAAAAATCGAATTCTGAAACAGCGCTAGTGAATTTGCGCAAATTGTACGGCGCTTTCATTGCTCTGGGAATCGGTTATTTTCTCAGCTTCGTAGCTCTACTTGGCGAAATAATACATTGGAGATATGTTGTCCTGAGAGATCCGAAGTATGACAAATATCATATGGATATATACTATAAGAACGATAATCAATTTAAAACTTGAGCAGCAATTTTTATCTTTACTCTTTAACATAAAACAATTATTAAGTAAGAAAAAAATAAAGAGAGAAGATTTATGAATTATTATTGATATTCTTGATTTTCTTAGCAGTAAAACATCAAAACGAAATATTAAAAAGATAGATATTAGATAAATATATTTCCTTTACAAGTTAAATAATTTGCGTGACCAGATATTGAGACATATATATACAGGGTGTCCCAAAGCACCCTTGACAACGCTCGTGAGCACGTAGAGCACAGTAAACTGAACAGAAAGGTCCTGTACCATTTTTTTCTATAACGCTTAAGAGTCGGCAGGAGTGACGGCCAAACTTCGAATTGATATTGGAGACCTCGCGCGGTGACAATGCGAAACTCCGACTTCAGGGTTACCAACCTGAGAAATAAATTCTCGATCTCTATGTAGAGGTATATGTTCGTATACGTACACACACGATTGCATTGCTCGCGTGGACGCACGGTGGAAAGGAAAGATAGAAAAGGATCAACGATCACGTTATCCTTGTATTTCTCTTTATTTGGGCTGTAGGACGTAGACTACGAATTCGTAATTCACGGCATCCCGCGAGAGGTCTCTACCGTCTCTCCTGCCGACCCTTAATATCTACAGTATTTGGTTTCAGTCTTCTCTCTGCAGTTACGATAGGTGATCGGGAGACTGCACGCGAGAGAGAGGTCACGTGTATCACAATTATTCAACAACAACGATGTCGACCGAGTCTAGCAAGAGGACGGTGGCTGCGGCTAATTTCAACGATGATCTGACATGTTACATCGAGTCGGAGAAAGCTCAGCTGACGCAGATGCTAACCACTCAAGAGACTGTTACCCGGGAGATAGTATCCAACATCAAGAATAGATACGAGCACGAGCTTTCCAACGCGCGAAAGCTGTACGACGAGATGGCCAGGAAATGCGCCAAGCTCGAGATCGACGTCGAAGATTTCAAGAGCAAGTAAGTTATTCTTCTTCTTTTTCTATATAGTTGATTGGGCTGCAATAAAGAATTTGCCTATACGCCAATTGGTGTTTTATTAAAGTCTGTAGATTATATAAATTTATAAATATAGATTATAGCCTTTTTTGTAAAAACATATAACGCTTTGAAAGCCTTTGCGCAATTGGAGAATGCAATGTTAATTATGTCCAATTTAATCAGAGGATTTATTCGATGTAAGTGATAAGAGCGTTTGAATGATCATTAAATATTGGACAATGAAAAACATTGACTCCGTTCCTCCACACGTTCCATATATACTATACGTATACATGTTCGGCGCGTTTTATTTTATTGTTGAATCAATCGATCTGTGAGAGTGAAATTCGAAAAAACTTTTACTGCGATATATGTATTCAGCTTCATATGTCAGACTTTTCGTGAGAGGAATTGTGTCAGTCAAATCAAAATCGCGGCTCTTAATTATGCTTATAGCATTCACAAATCTAATGGTCCTTGGACACGCAAAAAAAAATTGCCATAAAGAAGATGACATAAGTGCTTTTCAATAACTGAAGAAAGCGAATATTTAAAATTGAGATTTAATGGCTTTCACAGTTATATATGGCAAAAGTTTTATCATTTATTCTTCTCGGATTAATATTTGTATTTGTTTTCCTTAATCGTTAAATCTTTTGAATTGTGAAAACCGTTGTAGGTTTCGAAAACACGTCAAATATAAAATTAAAATAACGTTTTTTTTTTTTTAACATGAGAGAAATTTGTTAAAGAATATAGATTATTATCCATATGTTCATAAATATATGAGTAACAATACCTTGCGGGCTATTCTGTACAACATTTTTCTTATAAAGCTTATTCTTTCAAAAACCTTTTATTTCGCCCCATTGTCCTCGAAAATAACAAAGGTGTTTCTCGATTTCTCCGCGCGCGCGCGCGCGCGCGCGAGCGAAACAAATTCTTTTCAATTTCATCATTCCCTCTAAACCTAAAGTAATCTAAAGTAACGCTATTGTTAAACCCGTGACTTATAGCGTTTTCGAATGAATGGGTTATCCCACCCGGGTCAATTAATCACTATATTTTACTATGAATTCAAGTCTTTTATTGGCAGAAACGATGCAATGACGTCATTAATCGCTCTCGGAGCGATTAAACCTGCTATATTCGAAAACACCATTAGTTGCATTTGTCATAATGCCCTCCGATTCCGCCCTGATGAATGTTACGTGTTATATGCATAATTGCGAAATTTACCATGTTACTTAGAATCGGGAAATTCCCGCAAAATAAAAAAAAGGAAAAAGAAAGTAGAAATATCCCGTAAGAAATTATTATATGTTTTATTAATCTATTTTCTTTCACATTAATTACTTGATCATGAGCTCTTTTTTCGATTTTTTATAAAAGATGAGGGTTGATAGTAGTATAGCCGTCGAATCAGCGATACTTTCCGAAGATATCACAGTAAGAAAAATAATTCTCGTTTTCCACGAGGATAGCATCACTCGATATTACTTGTTTTATGGCAGTAGACCAAGAATAGCGAGACAATGTCGATTCCGAATGTTTCATGTCCAAAGAACCATCGTGGAAGATTCGAAGGATGGAAGCCTATCTAATTGTAAAGCCCGTATCAGACTACGCATTGAAAATGGAAGATTGATGATTAAAGATTGGAATTTGACTAATCGGAACAAAACGAACTAAAATTTCTTTGTTCTGATTGGTCAAATTCCAATCTTTAATCATCTTTAATTTTAATCTTTAATTTCAATCTTCAATCTTCAATCTCAATCTTTAATGCGTAGTCTGATAGGTTGCGTAGATTAGATACGTTAATGAGAAACTTGTTTTTGTGTATAAAAATGCTAACAAAAAAATTATTTTCATATTTAAGTAAAATTGCAATCAGAAAAGTTTAATCAGTAATTAATATGATGTTTGATTAATATGTGCGATAAATTTATTTGTATTAATATGTATTAAAAAATAACGTAAAAAAGTACGTAGATATTAGTACAAGAGACTTAAAATCATTTAAATGATATTTTAATTTATTTTTATTTAGTAAATATATAAACATATAATCTGTTCTGAAAGATAAGATGTAATTAGACTTAATCGGATGCGCATATCATTTGCTAAATTATAATGAATAACAACTGCCACTGTAGAATCATGCGCATATCACAGTTTCCTGTGTTTATGTAAAAGCTTGCAGAAAGCTTAGTGAGAATTTTCAAAAATGTTGCGAGTTAAAAGTAAAATGTTTAGGAGAGTAAATGTATTCACATCGGAGATAATTATTCTACTAACGGAAATAAATGATATATGTTCGTGATTTAACGCGCATGACTAAAATTTTGTTTAACATATGTTCTCTAGATTGGAGAAGAAGACAAAGGATTTAGAGATAGCAGAGCGAAATGGAATGATATATGAAACACGTTGCAATGATTTGCAATTGCTATTCGATCAATCGCAGGCGGAGAAAAAGGAAGCAATGAAAATAATCGAAATAAAAGATAAAAACCTTGAATTAGCATCAAGCAGCCTCGATTGGACCCGTGCACAAGTGATGTAATTTTTTTTTACAAAATTTTCTCATTTATAAAATGGATCTCTTTCTCTCTCTCTCTCTCTCTTTATGAAAAAAATATGATTGCATGAAGAAAAAGAATTGAAATAGCATATAAAGATAATTGATTAGAATAAAAGAATTATTTGATTATATTATTAATTTTATTTTATTTACAGGAAACATATTAGACGCAATGCATCAAGGCATATTCCATCAGAATATAATTTACAGCACCATGCTCAATTCGAAACACAAGTAAATGTAATTTATTTTATTTTATTTACAGGAAACATAGATGCAATGCATCAAGGCATATTCCATCAGAATATAATTTACAGCACCATGCTCAATTCGAAACACAAGTAAATGTTTATCCCATTGAAAAATAATCAAATTTAGTTTCTAATAAATATTTAGAGGAACAATCCTATTCCGAAAAAAATACACTATATATTTTATCTCGATGTGAACAAAAGAAGAAAGTAGATAACATAAAAAAAAAGATCTTCTGAAAAAAATGTCATGTTTTATAATTTATGATGCATGTATACATAATTAATGTTGTTTTTCAGAAATATATATACAAACATATATTTCTATAGATAAGTAATTATAAAAATAACATGTGAATGTATCTTTTGACAGAATCTTCGAGATGATCTTCAAAAGTATTGTCGTGAGCAATTGGCTGTCTTAGCACGCAAGCTAAATGAAGAGATTCAAAAGCAATCCGAAAAATTAATATTTCAAGAAATTAAAGTGTCCGAGTAGTCGAAGATATCGAGAGATATTGTCGAGAAACAATGTATCGACATCGACGCGACGCTAACGCAAACTATAGAACAAATGACAAGCACAAGCGGAAATGCCAGTTCTGATATTTCAGTGAAATCGTACAAATCAGCTTCACAGATCGCGCGGAACGAAACAAACGTCTACAGGAGACATAAGGCCAGCAAGCGGCCCAAACGCCTTCTAACGATTATAATCGAATAGTTTTCCTATTTATGCTCGAACCAATAAATTTTTATCTAGTTTTCTATGCATTTTACACAATATGTGATACGTTTGCTTTCGGCGTTCGTAAAAGTCGCAAATATTGCATCAGTTCTATTCTCAAAGAGTTTTAGAGAATATCATATGCATATGTAAAATAAACTATATATAACTATATGCCATTTTCTATTATCTCTACTTATATATATATATACACACCTATTATCTCTGTTTACATTTATCTACTAAAATGAATGATGATTACATAAGCACATTTTTTAGCTTTAGAATGTATATGATTTTTCTTACTAATTATCATAAACTCCAGTGGTACGACTATTAGTTATCCCACTTACTATGTCTACGGTTACTCCGTATAGTAAGGCTATCTATTGAAAACAAAGAGTAAAGAATAACAGAAGTGAACATTTTGTGTTAAGCGAACGGACGGAAGTGACTATATATATAGTCAAGACGGATGCGACCATAGACATAGTATATCTAGACCGAGGCCGGTATTCATAGTCAGTTCTTATTTCAAGACCGTCTTAAGTAATGTCATAAGATGCTAATACGGCTCTGTGATTGGTTTAGAACATCTTAAGATTGTGCTTAAGACGGTCTTAAATATAAGAACTGACTATGAATACCGGCCCGAGTGTTGAGGAGTGAAGGTCAAGATGCACGTAGAAAAGGACATACTCTGTTTCGTGCCCCTTGCGTTCTCTTTCACTCGCATGTAGCATAGCGAGAGAGAACGCAAGGGGCACGAAACAGAATATATCCTTTTCTATGTGCACCTTGGCCCTCACTCCTCAACACTCTGTCTAGATATACTATGGCCGGTATTCATAGGCCGGTATTCATAGTCAGTTCTTATTTTAAGGGGATCCAAAAGTGACGGCCGAACTCCAACGGGTTAGCGCCCTCATCCAAGCGTAACTAAAATTATCGATAATACCAACCGAAATTATCGATAATATCAATAATTTTAGTTCCCATTGTCACCGCGCGAGGTCTCCAATATCAATTCGGAGTTTGGCCGTCACTCCTGCCGACCCTTAATTTGTTACATTATAATTAATCTATATTTTTATATTTTTAAAGATTAAAAAAATATTGTAATGGGTGACACGGTGAGAGAAGAAAATGTACATAATGAAGGGGAGGAAATGGCAAAGAATGCCGTTTTAGTACCCAGCACTTCTCTACCAGTTGATACAGTTACAGTAAAAGGTCTTTATTTCTATATATTTTTCCAGTAAATTACTATTATTATTGCAATATAAATGATAACAATATATAAATTTTATATTATATAGGTTATGACTTTAATAAAGGACTTGATTATCATGAATTATTTAAGACCATGATACATTGTGGATTTCAAGCTACAAATCTTGCACTAGCGATTGAAGAAGTAAATAGAATGCTGCATCAAAGGAGTGTACCTCTCACAGAAGATCAGATTGACCAGATAGAAGAGGATGAATTTATTAAAAGAAAATCCCATTGCACGATATTTCTGGGCTATACATCAAATATGGTATCCAGTGGCATCAGGGAGATTATAAGATTTCTTGTTCAACATAAATTGGTAGATTTATACATTTGAGATTTATGCTTCTGTTCAATAACCTATGTGCTTTATAATTCTGAACAGTATATTTGTAGGTAGATTGCCTCATTACTACAGCAGGTGGAGTAGAAGAGGATTTTATCAAATGTTTAGCACCCACATATATTGGTAGTTTCTATTTGGATGACAGGCAGCTTCGAGAAAAAGGACTTAACAGAACTGGAAATTTATTAGTACCAAATGACAATTATTGTTTATTTGAGGATTGGCTGATGCCACGGTTAGACGCAATGCTGACTGAGCAGAAGGAGAAGGTTTACAAAATTTTATATCAATATGCAAGCTAAATATAGCATAATATAATAATTTACCGAATTATCGTACTTTAGGGCACTTTATGGACGCCATCCAAGATGATAACAAAACTTGGCGAGGAAATCGACCATAAAGATTCCATTTATTATTGGGCCGCGAAAAATAAAATTCCAGTGTTTTGTCCGGCTTTGACCGATGGTAGTCTCGGTGATATGATGTTTTTTCACTCATTCAAAAATCCAGAACTCGTACTCGATATAGTTGCAGGTTAGTGCAATATATATTTCTTAAATATATATATCTTAATTAATTATATATATATATCTTAATTATATATATATATATATATATATTTGTATCTTAAATATTTATATATTTATTAGAATGTATAAGCCAATGAATTTTTAATATTCCACAGATGTCAAGAGACTAAACAGGATAGCTATGAAAGCGGTGAATAGTGGCATAATAATTGTCGGAGGTGGCGTGGTAAAGCATCACATCTGCAATGCTAATCTCATGGTGAGACGACTCTCTTTGACGTGTTATTTGGGCGCATACATAATATCGCGATACTAACGGTATTTCATTTTACAGAGGAACGGTGCGGATTACGCCGTTTTCATCAACACTTCTTCGGAATTTGACGGTAGCGACAGCGGTGCACGACCCGAAGAAGCGATTTCATGGGGAAAAATTCGGAAGAATGCTACTCCAGTCAAGGTAATGGCATTATCTCCATTGTTATCAATTTTTACTGAACACAATGAGTCGTAATTAATCAAATTATCGACTAATTCGCTTCTGTTTCAGGTATGTGCTGATGCTACTTTGGTATTTCCGCTGTTAGTGGGAGAAACTTTCGGAAGGTATTATCATTATTCGGGGAACAATACTAGTAAAAACAGTACTGCATGTGAGTCAGCTGTATAAGACATAATAAAGAGATTTATAATATTGTGTGTATGTTTATATAATGTATATAACTAATGTCATATAATGTATATATAAATCTTCGAAACAAAAAAAAAAATTGCAAAAGAAACAAAGTTAATTTTTAGATATTTAAATGTTTAAAAGCAAAACACATATAAGTATCTATTTACTTATATATTTAGCTACTATATATTATCCTATATATACACATACATAAATATATAGCCTATATTTTATATATAGGGATTAGCAATATAAAATATATACTATTCAATAAATCATGTGTGCATAGGTTACTTTTATATAAAAGCAAAGTTAAAAATAATATTTGATAATTACAACGAAATATTATATTTACGTTATAATATTAGTAACTTTTGTCGTAATTATGAAAAAATTAATTTTAACTTTTCATACATTTGTTATAAAAAAAGCTGAAAGAGTTCATAAATATTTCGTTAAATACTAGAAACTAGGATTCTCCAATTTAAAAATTGAATCTTTCCTTGAAAATAAAATGACACGAGCGCGCGCGCATTTCGTTCTGTTGTTTGTGAGATCGAAAATTCCTTCGGTGTCCGCGTTCGATTTCGGGAACGCCATGAAATTGTAGCGACGCCTGCGCGATGTTGGCCCGACTGCGCAGCAGGTGTCTGCGGCGCAGGTTCGCCAGGGGTGGTGGGGGTGGCAGCGCCACTCGTCAGTTGTCACCCGTAAGCCCGCGTTCGCGGACGACGGGTGTGTGAGATCGACCCCGGACTCCCCCGTCGAACTCCCGCGGCAGTCAAACTCCCTTTGAAAGTCTGTAGTTTCTGCCCGTCACCCCCCCGACTACTATTCGTGATACATCGTCGGCCGGTCGTGGTTGTCGTCGCCGTTCGAATCGTCGCGGTCGCGGTGTTCGTTGTCGTCGTCGTCGTCGTCGTCGTCGTCGTCTATTTCGTTATCAACCCTCCTGCCGCAGCGGTGGTGGTGCTGGTGGTCGTCATCGGCATGAACGATGATGGACGTGGAGGAGACCAACACGGCGTCTACCGCGAGCTCGTCGCCGAGACCCTCCAGCCCCGCCGCGGATTCCACTTTTATCAGGTGAGAGAGAGAGAGAAAATCCATCTCGAGATATTCAAACGCGAAAATAATCCCTATATTCGCGACGAATTTCAGTTTTTACTTCATCGCGTCGGAAATTTAACTCGTCGGATTTGACGGAATTTACACGGGGCGTATGTAATTATTATACGCGCGGTTTGTTTCATTTGTGTTCGGTTTCTCGGCAAATCGTGTTGTTGTTCGACATCTGTTTTATTGACTTTCAAAAGATAGTAAACAACTTGACGAATGTAATAACATAGAGTATAAGATAGGAAAATACGGTAATAGTAATATAATATAAAATAATAAAATAATAATATAATCTTATATTTGTAAATATGTGTGTGTGTTTTTGTGACATTTGTTGAATATACACACATCGATTGTATTTTCCAACATAATCTTTCGAATGAAATGTTGACTTAGATGATGTCTAAAATTTTTCAGTTAAGATACTCCTTTCAAATGTATACATGTGGTTTGAATTTATCTCTATCATTCATACGACGAGTACAACGAGAGCTATCGAGGCGCGTCGTCGTGAATATACACTCGATCTCTCTCGAGAGATATATTTCGTCTCTCCTATTCTTTTGCAAGAAGAAGAGAGACGGTCCAGAATATTTATACATTTACATCAAGCAGATGCAGTATTATATTAGGTATTCTATCTTGCATATTAAAAATAATTACTACTACAACCTCTTAAAATATTTATTATTCCTTCTAAACACCCTGTATATATATATATATATATGTATGTATGTATGTATGTATATACAGGGTATTTCAGTAAATATTTTGGGAGGTTGTATCAATTACTCTGACCAAAAAAAAAAAAAAAAAAAAAAAAATTCAAGCAGATGCAGTATTATATTAAAAAAAAGGCGCACATAAACATGTATTCAATGGCTCGTACTTTAAAACTGGCGCATACAAAATCATTATGAGAGATATTAAAGAACGATAAATGACTTATTATTTGTATTTATTGACTATTTGATTGATAAATATTTATTGACTATTTGATGACAAAACATAAATAATTGACAAATAATATACGACACGTAATAAAATATTTACTATTTCTTCTGAAACATCTTGTATATTGAAAAAGAGGTAAATCTTGAACATGAGAAAATTAAATTCAGATCAAATCTCAAAATCCCCTTGTGGATTGAACTACTATTACGTTGATTTTCTGTCATTTGAAGCTAATATAATTTTGGAGCTCGAAATCTGATATGTGGAAACGATTTTTACATTCATTTATGACAACGAAAAAGCATCGGAAATTGAATTTATAAAAAATTAAATAATTACCGTAAATTGACTTTATCGAAATTATAGCGCCTCTCAATTATTGCGTTTTAATCTGCGATAATTTCTGAGGGGAGAGAAAGAACTGCACAAAAATATATTTTATTAAAATCATATGAGAAATTTTTCAGTCGCTTTTTGCTCTAATTAATTGCTACTGTCGGTCAATAAATATAATTATTATGTTACTATTAATAATAAGTATAATTATTTATTTAATTGCGTGGAAATTGCTTAATTTCTTTTTACATCACTTTTCTGCTTAATAAATGTGTGAATAAAACGGCTGGTTCTCTACATATTAGATCAATGGGTATCGAATAATCAATACTAATTAATTCAATGCGCATGGTGATGCGGAATGGGCGGACTCATTGTGTAATTACGTGTATGCGTACATATAAATGTCTCTTCAGATATCTTGTATCTGCCTATCTGTAAATTGGTAAAATCGTTTATTGCAACTTTTCGATTTTTAGCGTTATACATTAACCATAAGTATTCTTTTACGATTAGAATATATCTTGTTACTAATTTAATTTTTAAATAAGAATAATAATTCACACACATGCATATAATAATAATGTTATTAATTTTTTTTTATATTTAATTTGTGAGAAAAATCCATTTAAACTTTTAAAAAAATTTTTTAGACTGTTCATATTTCGATATTTTTACTCAAAAGAAAAAATCGATTTTAAATTCGTCAAGAAATCTAAAATGAACATCTGATGATTCTGGAACATTCCGTGTAATTTACATATTGCTATTCTAAGCAATTACAATATTGGGGTGCTCCTTCACGTCTTTCGATAGACAGAGAAAGTCACCCTATTATCTTATTTCACGATCATGTATATCCTGTGATTGATTCTTTCTTATGCGATTATGTTATCTTATTAGATATATATTAGAAGTGTATTATATATTTTATATACAATTTTATATTTTGATCTTTTCTCGTGTATATCGACCATGTATAAAACACGCGCTCGCTAGGTCGAGGACGTGAAATTACGCTGGCAGGACGAATAAAATCCGGCGCGTGCGATCGGATACCTTTAGACACGGATATTTTCGGATGACCCACTTCATTCTATCCGTCCAAAGTTGGTAATTATCGACGATACTAGGAATAGCGGCAACACGAATGACACGACACGGACGGTGTCGGTCATTCTTTTTACGAGATCGTTATGAGATCGTTTATGGTATCGAATAATATTAAATATCAGATGTTTGTATATATAATGAAATGCTATCAGAATAATATAATCCGAATGAATAATATTGACTTGATCGTTTTTAGATTGTATAGATTGTTTAAATTGAACATTAATTTGTCGTGAAATTAGTTAGAATTTTTTCGACAAATTTCTATTGAATTAAATATTAAATCATAGAGTCATATAAATTAATACTAAAATTTGTCATAATTAAGATTTGAAATAGATATCTTCTTAAATTATTATGTAATTTTATTGCAAGATAATTAAATCACGATCACTGATTCATACACGGAAAAAAAAAATTAGCTGCCGTAGCTAAAAACTGCGTGTGGTAACTAGATTTCAGTCGTAATATATGGACGGATAATTAAATCACGATCACTGATTCATATAAATTTTGGATAATCTTCAAAATTATTATAAATCTATAGATTACGAGAATTTTATATGTCTTTGGGACAATATTTTCTAAAGTTTATTTTTCACAAAAATAATCGATAAAGTTTAGTCAGAGGCACGAAAATGATTTTCACACGTTAATATCGTAATCAATTATATATGTCATGCGCGGATTCTCTTTGCGCCAAGAGATGGATGCACATTATCAATTTTTCTACTCCTCTATCCCACTCAGTTTTGCCTTGATTAATCTTTCCTAAAGTCGGATCCGCGGCAATCGAAGCCAAAACTAGGTCAATCTTTTATTGCATCGTCTCAGGACCGTCCTAGAGCGGTATCGAGCGTCATATGGCGGATAATATCGTTTCCTGTTATCCTTCCTGGACGCACAAGGATTTTGCGGTCGAACTTGAACCACTTTCGGTTAATACCATCTCCTGCGTCTTTTGTCTAAATATATAATAAATGTTCCCATTTCAGCGTGAAGAGAGAACCGAGCACGGATGAGCCCAGCAGCCCTTTGGAAGCCACCAGTCCTGGTTCCATCCTACGCAACAACAACGGTGAGTCCTTAAAAATAATTACAAATGACGCCTATGAAATGCTCGATGCCATAATAGTTTATTTTATGAAAAAGAATAAATGAGGATAGAAAAAAATTAAGTGTCCTCACATAGCAAAGTTCCTTATATGTATAACAAAATATATAAATGGAATAGTGTGATTTAGGCTATTCTTTCCTAAATAAATGAAATTAACTCTGCGTTTTTACATCGAGTCTATTTGTGGCTTCCCTTTTTCTCTTTCTTTCTCTACCAAATTGCCGAAATACAATTCTTATTTAAAGGATAATATTTTAAAGATCGTACCAAAATAGGAGATTAAACCGCAATAATTTTAATTTAATTTAATTAATTAAATTAATATATCTATATTATATTATATTTTTTATAGAAGATATCGATTATTGAAAGTTGTAT